AGGGCAGTTTGGTTGTCAGTGATCAAGAGTCATATGCTCAGTCTAATGACTATGGCCAACTGCAAAAGAGTAATCAAACCTTGTTTCTCCCTGAACTCTCCCATGCCTCTTGGTACCAGAAATACAGTTGGAAAGGTATATAAGAGTCTTTTTTCCCAGTGGATGTATAAGGCAGCCCTTGTTAGGACAGTCTCCCTGATGCCATGATCAAAAAAGTGCAAAATCTTCCTCAGCTTAATAGCAAAGATCCACTTTCACTGTCCTCCACTAGAAGAAAATCATCTTCAGGCAGAGACCTACTTGGATATGTATACAAAGGGGGCGCAATTTTGATTTGGGTCTTTCAGCACTGTAGTAATATAAATAATAACTAACAATAATTCTGGACACTCCATATTATCATACAGTAAACTGAGCAAAACTCAGTACTAAAACTATAGGTACATGAAAATAAGTACATGGTATCCCACTACTGTAATCCTCCACCTCTATCCCCATTTTGTTTGTCATTCATTGCAGTGTTGCCTCTAATTTAGATTATTAGCTCCCTGCAACAAGGACCCTGTTAATTGTATTTGTTCTATAAGCACCACAAACAGCTTTGGAGAGTTAGAAAAAAATAATACTAACACTAATCCATTCCTATCGGACTTTTCCTTCAAGGAACATATAACAACTAATACATGTATATTTCTAGGGTCAGATTTACACCTTATGTGCTCCTAGGTGCAGCATCTTCAGCGTCCCCCACTTCCCTCCCCTCCCACCCTCCCCCCCCCCCCCCGACAGCTGACCTTCGTGTTTTCCTTACAAAATGAAACTTTTAACCCACTTTTAACTTTTAGGCACCCCTAAAATTCCAGCACCCCTACACACGTGCCTACTGTGCCTAACTGGAAATCCAATGCTGTATATTTCAAGATTCATGAAGGAGCAGACTCACTCTCCTGCACAAGATCTCTGAATAAAGATGCAGCAGCACTGAGCACAGGGCCAGACCAGATGATTTGGCAGCCTACGGTTGTGCAGACCTATAATAACTTGCACATTACCACCTCTATCATAAAATACAATATGCTATACTATATGCAAACAGAAAAATTTCACACCCAACTAAGATACAAAAGACACTCTCCAGGAAAAAAAACCCACTATATTATGCATTATTAAATATTCTAACTTTGTGCTTAAAGTGTGGCTAGTAAGGTACTTGGATAACAATAATTTTTCCTATGCATTTTTAGCTTATTTTCTTTCACACAATTATACATTTGCCCAATTGCCTCTTGCAGGCCAGGCTACATCGCTGTACATCTTCAAAGTCTTTTAAAATCAATCCCACAAGTCAATAATAAAATAAAATAATAATAATAATTATAATTCCTATATAGGGTATTTGTTTGCTTCTAAAAGATTGCTTTTTTCCTCTTGCACAAACTAAACCTTACTATTTTGGTTCCAGTTTGTAGTGATTTAGTACTGTTCTCCCCACCAGATGGCAGTAACTTCAACTTAATATAAACCAGACTATTGCCACATGTGCAGCAAACAATAGTATTCTTTATGTTTGGGATTTTCATAAAAGGGATTGCTGGCTGTTAACATGGAGTTGTTTTAGATCCCTGTGATTTAATGACAAATCGGAGGGTAATGTTTTCTACTAATGGCTAAGGTTAACTATGATCAGTGTGCTTTGCAAGGTAAATTGCAGTCTGTTCATAACAAATAGCTCTTACTCTTACCCATTTTTTATTATATCTGAAATTCACTGGTTGCATTTTGAAAATGGTAGGGATTTTATCTCAGTTATATTTCCTTCTTTTTTCCTTTCCAATATTTGTCCACAAGTAACTTCCAATATTACACCAAGTCTTAACTAATTTAATCATCACTTCATGTGTATTAGTGCATATGTCAATAATTATAGTGTATTAATAATTTAAAATGCTGACTCTTCAATATTTTAACAAACATATGTCTTCCACCCACTTCTAGACTTTCATGAGCACGTAGCTGAATAAAGCCTCACCAGATCTTTGTCCCTAGTGAAATAAACTTGGAAGAAATAATGGAAGCTCCTTTTGTTGGTAGGACATGTCAAACAGATACAGCAACTGATCAGACTTTTGTTATTTTGGTGTTAGCTCTTGTTAGTTTGGTATGGCTTAGAAATGTATGCTTTTGTGTACCGGGCACCAAAACTTAGAACAGAGGTTCCTGTTCCTAGTTTTTTTATGAAGCATTATGCCAGTAGTCTGATTTTTAGTCTACCCTAACTCAGCTTCCTCCCCAGCAAATATGTAATGGCTTCATTTTTTAGAAAGCAAAACAAATAAGCTATTCATGGATCACTACAAACCTTTTGCTAGAAAGGCAGAGACTTATGGAGAATGTAAAATAGACCCAGCCATTATTATACCTAGATTAGAGCTACATCGCTGCTTCAAGATTAATGGTGTTAAAAAGTAAACAATATATTACTAATATGATATATCCATACATAAATATTCAAATTAATTTTACCTTTTCTTAAATTCATGATTCAAATTTTAAAGCCTGGTAGATCTGTTCTTCCTTGATGTGCAAGTGTAAATCCTATTATTAACATTAATATGATCTGGAGGTGAACAGATTCTTATATGGACATTCAGAAATACTGTTTTAGATCGGTGTGACAAAGATATGGTGCAGAAGATTTCTGTTTGATTTACACAAAATTCAAATCTAATACCTCTGAATGTGTCATGGAAAACTTGAAAACTTAACAAAACAAAAATAAATTATTTCTCTTCTGTTCTCTACTCCTAATAAAAGTCAAAATAATAAGTCTTTTTGCCTATGTAAAAATTTGTTATGGGCCCAGAAATGGAAATTATTCAAATTATTCATTATTATTCATTCAAATGAAGAATTTAATGGACAGTAAAAGCATTGTAGTGAACACATACTAGTAACATATTGGTTCTGAGTCCTGCCCTCTTCTTAAAGTGGATGTTATTAATTGCTGCTCCTGGTAAGGGTAGTTAGGGTTTGGTCAGTGGTAGCCCAGCCACTGTAAGGATTAATGTCATTGGAGGATGGGAACTGCACTGCAAAGCTGTTGGTTCTCCAGCATAAACCTACTACAGGGTTCATCCATAGCAGCAAAGTGTGCTTTTCACTGTTTGCAGATGTAGTCTTGCTTATTTTATAATTGAAATCAACATTTTAGGAAAGAGGACTTCATGTCCTTTTCTACAGAGCTAGTACCTCGCAATGACTAAGTGGCAGAGTCCTGTGGCACCTTATAGACTAACAGATGTATTGGAGCATAAGCTTTCATGAGTGAATACCCACTTCGTTGGATGCATGTATTGGAAATTTCCAGAGGCAGGTATAAATATACATCTGCTAGTCTATAAGGTGCCACAGGACTCTTTGCCGCTTTTACAGATCCAGACTAACATGGCTACCCCTCTGATACTTGCAATGACTAAGTTATTTTCAACTGTATGCTGACTGAAAAAAAATCAAGTTGCACATGCATTTTTTACAAACAAATGCACTAGTTTTCCAACAAGTTTGTTCCAAGCAACAGAGCCTGTTTGGACAGCCGGCATCTACTAGCAGACAAGAACAGATTCAGACCCTTTTGTCTTTCATAACCATTGAGGATTCTCGATAGATCGATCCTGTGGAACACAATTGCCCTCAAAGATGTATAAACTAAATCTGTGTAGAGATAAGAGAAAAACCCTGAAACAGAAAGTGAAAAAAACAGACTGCCCTAAATTAATAGACAGAATGGAGCAAGACAGAAAGACAAGGCTCTACAAAGGGAAGGCCTGAGAGCAGACAGGGAGAGAAAATGAGAGGGTCTGTAAGTATGAAAGAGAGAAAGATCTCTTGAAGCTGAGAGGGATTTAGCAACAGATAAGGAGATAGATAGGAGAAAGCAGGGAGGGAGAGAAAAGAAGAAGATAAAAGAGTGATGACCATGAAACCCTGAGAAGGAAGTGATGCCAACAAACCCACCATTAGAAGAACCATCCCAAGAGATCAGAAAGTCTAATTCACCTGAAAGCTAGGCTTCTGTAACATGCTTTTTTGAAGGTACCCTGGAAAACTGCTTACAGATTTCTCTTCTTGAAAAACACGACTTCTCTAGAGCCTTAACTCATGACAGCTGGTTATGCCAATGCTTTGCACACTGCATTGACTGCCTACATTACAGCAAATGCTCTTGAATGTTTTACTTTTCATATATATAAGCCCCTAAATAAAAAGACCAGTTTACTTAAAGGTGTGCTAGCTGCTCCATTGCCAAAATCAACAGGGTTGGAATTGTGGATAGTCTCCAGATTCTGTATAAACTTGAAATAATAGAATGTAAGGCCCTTTTCTGTTGAAGGCCTGATATTCAGAACTCCCTTATGTGTCTGTCATGGTACTTCCATGTCATCTATGATCACAATGACTACTAATTCTACTAATGTGTAAAAACACACTCATCTTGCTATTATTTTACTCCTCTTCCTTCAAACTTTATTTGCACATTTTTCCACTAGTTGCATCTTGTCATAATCCTAGATTTACATCTTGTACATTGGGTCAGACTAGATGATCTAATGGTCCCTTCAGGCCTTCAATCTCTTGAAATATCTGGATCACTGTGTAATCAGATTGAAATAATTTGCATTCCTTGCAAACCAGAGGTGAAATTCTGACCCCACTGAAGTCAAGGGTAAAACCCCCATTGATTTAAATATGGCCATGATTTAATTCTAGGTTCCTACCTTAGGTTCTGCTAGTTCTGAACACTATCAACTAACAGAATGACTGCAACAAATTCAAATTCACATCCAGAAAAAACACATTCAAAAGCATGTTACTTAAGTGGGAAATGTTTCCATCACTTTAGTTTGCAAAAGCATCAGCTACAATAGTGTGCAACTACCCATATTAATGTTGGATTATGGACACCTGTAACCAAAATTTCAAATAAAGAATTAAAGACTTACCCCTAATCTGTGAAACAAAAAGGATCTTTTTGCAAAAGTCATAACGACAGCCATACACCTGAAAGAAATACAGTGAATCAAGATGAGGGTAAAAGATTAAAAGGATCATATACTAAAGCCAGACACTTCAAAATAACCCAGTGAAATTATATTTAACTCCTTTTCAAAATCAATTAAAATTATACCCCCAAGTTACAAAAACACTGGTGTAAAAGAGGGGAAAAGTCTTGTCTTTTAGCTTACAAGATCTGGTCAATTTCCCCAAGATAGTAACTGCCAGAGAATTACTGTACATCAGTAAATCAAGAATTTCTAATAGTATAATCAAATACTGACATTATTGGCCAGATGGATGATGGTACTCATCCACTTTGCTTTCATTTAATTCAGAAATACAATTTTACACTCTGAAAGAGTAACCCAATATTTATGTAAAAAGTAGTACATAATTACATAATAGTAACCCCCAACACTGTAGTTATGTTATAGTAAGGTGTAGTGTTGTGAGGCACTGTTGTAAACTATTATTTCGTTAACTAAAGAAAGAAAATGATTTTATCTTCTATTTGTGAAACTGTACATTTTTGTAGTGTATCATAAAATGCGTTTAGAAAATATAGACATCTTCACTCCAGTTACATGCATATTTTAAGATATTTGATTTCTTGCAAAAAAATATTGCTGAAGCAGTTTATATATGTAGCTGCAGTTTCAGAGAGGAAATTAAATTCTGACATGTCTTGAAATGGCACAGCATGTTGGCCTTGAGTATGGAAAGCTTTGATAAATTAACAATATAGTGTATTATAGTATTAATTATATTTTAATATAGCGGCTGAATTATGCTGTATGTATGTTGACATTAAAATGTAATTACAATGTGACTGAACTTTGTCATACTTGTAATGACTGCTTATTCATATCTATACATAGTAATTTCTCTGAAGTTATACTTGTTGCACACAATCACTAAAAGTTTAAATGTCAAAAAATAAAAATTAATTTCAGCATAGCTACTGTTTATTTAGTATACCTGGACTGTAAATGTACATGCATTCATAATGAAACAGACGGCGAGCACAAATAATTCAGTTACATGGTCCACCTCTGGTTGTAGGATTTTGTATAGACACATACAGAAAGAAAAAAAAAACATAACCAGAATAATTTACAGTATAACATGGTAAATATGAAACTTCAGGGGTAATAAATTATTAAATCATGTCGCTAATCTTCAGGTTAGTATGGTGCAGGAGTAGCTACTCTATAATTAAGTTTGCAACCAGTTTCCATTTCTAAAATCTTATTTTAGCCCCCGGAACCTATTTTTATTTTTAAGACATTAAAAAGTAGTATGAATTTTTGATTGTCCAAAGTGGCCTTTTTATCATCTTTCATACTTTACATCTACATAAACTATTGACAGTCAGTGTAAAGTTGAGTTTTATATCCTGAGATTAGTGTTGAAAGAGTAGTACTCATTTTGAATTAAGGTTGTAGTGTTGCAATGAAATAAGAATTACTCTGTACTTGATAATGAGAAATGTGTGACAGTTTAAGATGATGGCCCCAATCCTAGAGGAAATCCACATGTGCTCAATTTACACACTATGGGTAGAATCTCACTGAAGTATTTGTCATCAATGGGATTATTCACAATATATTAAGTAAAGTTTAGGCACAAGTCTTTCCAGGGTCAGGCATTATATTGGCTTTAACTTTTTCAATTCCTTGCTCCTCAACTTTGTAAATTATGTGATAGGTCAGTAAACTGTTACATTCAGCAACCTTAATTGGCTTTTTAAATGCGTGGTTTTGGTTTTTGTTTGTTTCTGGAGGTTCAATTAGTGTTAAATACAAGTTTGAGAAAGCACAACCACTATGTAATTATACTGTAACTACAGTGTAATTGCAGTTACTATATTATAAAGTGTAACCGTGGAATGGATACTGTCTTATGATACTGCCACCTAATCTGTCATTAACAAAAAATGACTAGAGCATGACATAACTTCCCCCAGAAAACAAGAAAAGTGATGTATAATCACATAATTAGAACATGAATGTAATGATCAGATAGGAGTTTCAACAGTTGATATTTTAAACTAAAAGTGACAACAGAAGGAAAATGCGAGGAAGACCTACTGAAACTGGGTAGTTAGGAAAGGAAAGAGGAAACAAGTTAGATTAATATAGTCACTGATCCCTCTTTCCCAGGAGCATAAGTATGTGCGGGAGAAGGGAGGGAAAAAAGGAAAAGTAATGATATTGGCGGAGTGCTAATCCAGTGTTCAAAGTGGCTCCATCTCTAATAAAATATGGCTATAAATAGCCTTCAGCAGTAGTCTATGTATTATGAGCAACAAACTATAAGCAAAAAAAAAAAAAAAAACAAAGAAACAAGCAAACCTCTGGTGCAGCCACAGCTTTTAGTAGCATTTACCTTTGCTGCTGTATAACTTCTGAATTTCACCTTGCAATGAACAAATTAAATCAGGAGACTGATGTTCCCACTTTTTATTTTTTAAACAAACCATCAAATTGAAAATATGGTTCAAAATGTTATAAAGCATTATGTAAAATGTAACTATACTGATGCACCTTCATATTCTGCAACCAAATTTATCTAAAGAAAAATTACCTGGTGTACCTTGCTTCTGCTTCCTGTGAACCACAGTGGTTGAGGTATTGCAAATCCCTCAAAAAGAGGTATAATTTAGAAACAGTAACAAATACTTGCCCATAAGGTAATTGCTATATAGTAGAACCTCAGAGTTACCAACACCAGAGTTACGAACTGCCCAGTCAACCACACACCTCATTTGGAACCGGAAGTACACAATCAGGTAGCAGAGACCAAAAAAAGGAAATACAGTATAGTACTATGTTAAATGCAAACTATTAAAAAATAAAGGGATAGTTTAAAAAAAGATTTGACAAGGTAAGGAAACTGTTTTCCGTGCTTGTTTCATTTAAATTAAGATGGTTAAAAGCAGCATTTTTCTTCTGCAGTAAAGTTTCAAGGCTGTATTAAGTCAATGTTCAGTTGTAAACTTTTGAAAGATCATAATGTTTTGTTCAGAGTTATGAACATTTCAGAGTTACAAACAACCTCCATTCCCAAGGTGTTCGTAATTTTGAGGTTCTACTGTATTAATGTTGCTTTCTGATTAGTTGGAAGGACTGATATAGATACAGATTTGCCCTACAGATTTTTTGCAACATCCAGTGGGCCAGGAGTATATAGCTCAAAAAGTTTGATCTTGTTCAACATCCACACATGCCAACTTTTGGTCCAAGGAATCAGTTGATTGGTCTAGCATCACATTATTGGCTCACTGCACCACTCAGTTACCCATGCATAAAGGGAAACATATGTTCCGAAAAAGACCCTTTTCCATACTTCTTGCACATCACTCTGCTTTGGTGCAGACATTTAATGAACTACTCCTCTTGTTAGTAGATGTTTTGGGGGCAGTTCTTCACTCAATTCACAAGCTGAATTGAGGAACTACTTTACAGAAGTAGCTAGTAATACTGCTTCAAAGCACTGCAAGTTATAGCTCAAAGGCTGTGGTCATTAAGATACCAGCTTTACCAGCAGAAACAGTGCATAACCATTGATAGTGGGGGGGACACAGTTTAAAGGTTTGGACTCCCCCCAGGCAGGCCCCACCCTTTACCCTCAGTCTCCCCTCCCAGAAAGCAGCAGCCGCTCACTGCAGTGCTCTGCTCCTGCTTCTCCCCGCAGGGCACAGCTTGCAGCTCACCCATCCTCCAAGGTCACTTGACTGGCTCTGCCAGATACTGCACAGGAAGGGGGTCTGGTGGCACCATGTGACCAAGGGGGCCAGCTCTGAGTCAACAGGAAACCCATGCACAGGAGTGGGGCACTCCAGCCCCAAACCCCTGGAGGATGGGTGGTTTCCAGAGGTGGCTTCCAATGCCCTCCCCCCCTCCAGGCTGGGGGCTCCTGCGCCTTACCCACAGTGTGACCCTGGTGAAATCCCCCCCCGCCCCCGCGGTCTCTGTGCAAGACCCAAACACACACCAGGACAGGCTCTTGGTCCCATGGGTCACCACTGACCCTGCAGTGCCCCACCGCCCCGAAAGTCTGAGGCAATTGCAGAATTTACTCCCCAGGCACAGCCCCACTCGCCTTGCTGGAGGGTCACTGTGGGTCAGTACTACCGGGAGCCAGGCCTGCAAAGGGGGAAGACAAAGGGGGCAGCTCACTATTGATGGTATCTGTTTTGAGATAAATTACTGTGCACTCACATATTTTGAACCCACTCCCTGCAAAAAAAGAAATAAAAATATAAACCGTGGCAGAAATCGGGGTGGGGGGGATGTGACCCCATATGCCCCCCCCCATGTTACCTCTGTTTACCAAGCTTTCAGTACTTGGTGTCTATCGCAGGATCTAATTTCACACTTATTTTTGAAATGGAAACTATCAGAGCCTTAGTCACCACGCCACCCATTAAAATCAAAATCCCAAGGTTATGATATAAGAGTTTTCATATTCCCAATTCTCTTTTGGAAAATCCCATTTTCCAATAAATACACCCTTGCAAGTGGCATTTCTAAGCAACATTTGTTGACCCTTTTCAAAGTTCCTCACACTTGTTTGAACCATTCTGTTTTATTTGCACGTTCTGCTACTTGCTGCATACACAAGTTATATTTGCATTTAGGGGCTGAATGGAATAATTTGTGGTTGGTATCGGATTCTGTGCTACCAAGTTTTGAGTGACCTGATACTTACCCTTGGTAGGTTGGAGATTTTTATCTGTATTTATTTTGCATGACAGTATGGGGATATTAAAAGATTTTTCAGATTCCTTTCCTGTGAGTAATATACATGGGCAGCGGGTAGCATAGGCAGGGGAAAGTTGTGCCTTCCCAAATGGTCCTGCATGGCTCCGCCCACACTCTGCCCCACGGCCCTCTCCTGCTTGCCGCTAGTTGGCCCAAGCCCAGGCAGGCTGCTCCTCTTCCAGAAAGCCTGCTGGGAACTAGTGCATCTGGACTTAGGTGGCTGGGGCTGCCCAGCAC